ATGCCTTTTTGAAACTCTTTTGTCTTCGACAAAATTGTCTCAAGCCAGACTGACCAATATTTCGACCAAATGGAACATCATTCCTATTTGCCATGTTTATAACTTGAAAAACTTTTTTAATTTTTCATATGAACAATGAGTGCTTACTATATCAATTTCTTCAGTGTATAGCGGACATAGTTATTATAGCGGCATGTGTGACTTTAGCTTAAAACAGTGGTGACAATTATTTTTAGTATGCGTAGAGTATGGTTCATAACAGATTTGCTCTCAAGTAGTCTTTTATTTTATTTCAAAAGTATATGAATATTAAAATAGAGTACAAAATTTACATATTCTGCAGCATAATGGAGAAGAATATTTGTGATAATTTACGCGTTCTGCTTTAAAGAAAACCTTAGAGTTTAATGCAACTATCATTATTTGAAGCATTTAGAACAGTAATGTCTTTAATAATATTTTTTTTATACTCCGATACTATAATTGGTGTTTTAGACTTTATTATTTGTACTTTAATGAAAATTTCCTTTAAGATACGAGTTTATAACCAATAAAGGAATATCCATTTAACGATCAGTGCATAATATACCATCAAAAGCCACGTTATTTTTTGTTTTAAGTTGAAAAAAATTTATTTAGAAGCTTATGCATAACTTCGCACTCTGACCAACCTTGTCGCAGTTTTCAGCGCAAACGGCCGAAGTTGAGACCCTAATTAAAGTAGGAGTCGCGTTATACGTGTAATTTAGCTCAGTACTTGTCTAGGGGAGGTGGAACAGCAGGTAACCGACTTGATGTTATGTAGGGGGACTCACACATGAATACGGGGGGATATCATTGGGAGGGTAACGACTGTAATGCTGTAGAAGCAGGTAGACTGCGGGTGACACACGGTGCGGGTGCATGCGTCGGCGGGGATATGTTACAGGGGGAATGAACTTGTATCGTATTCGGTGTACAGGGCGTTCGGCGGCAGACCGTCCAGGCTAACGCTCGCAGGAAATTTCCTTATCGATCAGAGGTTGTGTTGTCGTTGAATTGATTACTTTTTGTCGATATAGCCTTAGAATTACTACTGATGGGGGAGGTCAAAGCAAGCTAGATTAAGGAAGAAATCAAACTACGCTTAATTGATTTAATTTCGCAATGATAGATCTTTAATTATTGAGGTTTTGGTACAGGGGACGTACTTTTTTATTTAATTGCATATTTCTGCTATGAAGAAAATAAATATTAAATAACTTTTTGCGCTTAAAGTCGAGGAATTAATTTTATAAATTTAATTAAGCCTCAACAGAAATATCTGAGCAAGTGTATAATATAGATAAAAATAACAAACACTCAATTAAATTTAAATCGATTGAAAGTCAGGTATTTGTTTTATCTACCAAATACAGGATTGCCTTGGTTAAAAGTGACAGAAAAAGTTTTCTAATAATTTCAATGTTGAGCTTTAAGAAGGTATGCAGTTTGAAGCTGATATATCAGTATCAAATATGGTATAATACAAGTTTATGACTATTAAATAGACAAAAATTGGTCGTGTAATGTAACAATTCGAAGTTTGAGAGTTGTTGGGTTCTTTTTTTTTAAAACTACACAGCAAAAAAATTAAGGGAGTAGAAAAATTTCCAAATTTTTTTAGTGATTTTTGAGTCTGTAACTTTGTAAATAATGGTCGTACCCAGGAAAAAAAAAGAATCGTGTTGAAGCTTGAAAATACTAGTTTTGTAATCTTGAGATGAAAAATTTTTTTGATCACTCGGCACAATCGAAAGAAATAGTGCAAGGCAAAAATTTTACAATTTTTTTTTAAAAAGCCCATGAGAAAATTTTTTTCTGGCATGGTCATTTAGGCTGATTCCTCAGCTTCAATTAGTTTTTTAATTTTCTGTACGATTATTTCTCATCGAGATATCGGCTATTGAGTGAAAAGTCACTTTTTTTTTGTTCGCCGATAAGAGGCCTGTAAATTTTGAAATCGCTCGGTCGAACCGTTTTCCTGTCATGAATAGTCAAAATTTTATAAAACATTATTATTTTTCTCATAATTTCCCGTTAAATAACACAGCCACAAAAAAAGTTCTTTTTCTAACCTAAAAAAACGGGTCAACTAAGGTCCCCAAAAACCCCCGTATAACAAATTTGGCGCGAATCTGTTATTTTTTTAAAATTCGTGACGTCTGACCTTAATTGACCCGTTTTTTTTTTTGAAGTTAGAAAAAGAACCATCAATTCTGACAAATGTACATTTTAATAGAGAAAAAAAAAAATTGTATTTTTCCTAGCACTTTTTCGCAAATTTTTGCTATTTTTGACCTGTTTTTTGAGGTTAGGAAATTCCGTGATGTGATCGCTCAATTCTGACACCGGATTCGTGATCAGGAGGCAAAAGTACTACGGATAACATGTCTCTTGAAAAGTACAGACAACTTTTTTTTTGTGGCTGATGATGCTGTGGAATCACGCTAATGACCCTAGCATTGATTAAGCCAGAAAAAATTTTTCTAAGCCCATGGGCAGTTTAAAAAAAAAAAAAAAATTGTAAAATTTTTGCCTCGCATTATTTGTTTTGATTGCGCCGAGAGTGATACTCAAAAAGATTTTTCATCTCAAGATTTCAAAACTAGAATCTTCATGCTTCAAAATGCCTCTTTTTTTTCTCGATACGATCATTATTCACGAAGTTAGTCTTTCAAAAATCATTAACATTTGGAAATTTTTCTGCTCCTTTGATTTTATTTCAGAGTTTAGTATTTGGTGCCTTTTTAAAGGATATAGAAATTTGAATTTTTTTCGCTGGGGTTTGTCTGGTGTTATATTTACAAAACAGATCTTTAAATATTTTATTACGAAAAAAAGCTATATCAACTATAAAACATGTTTTATAACAATCCCACTATATTCTAGACAAAGGACATTTTTTTAAATAAATAAAGGGATAGTTTTACGATCAAAAGAAGTCACACTTTAACCTCTGTGTGTTATATTTGTCATAATACTTCAATTACTTTTTTTACACTTCTTTGAAAGTGCAAGAAAACTTCCTAAAACTTTTTGCCACTTTTTCCTAGATAGAAAGACGAAATAATAAGGGGATATAATGTGATTACCCCTGTACATTAATTAGTATACATTCATCACTATGTATTTATTACATTCCAAATCTATAAAAAAAAAATTCAACTTCGCCTTAATATGAGATACTTCTGTTAGATGCAAGGGGTCGTTTAAAATTTCTTTTTCTTTCCAATGTCGCAGAGATATTCAATTAAATAAAAGAATAAGTAATTAAAAAAAGCCACAAATAAATCGTCATATAAATTAGCAAAACGTTTTGTCGAATTTAACAAAACACTTTTATCCGTGTAACTTTTAGCGTAAACTTTTTAGACAAACGAACGCTTTTATCTCCGATACAATCGAATTAGCCTGGACGTTCCTGAGCGGGGCGCCCCGTCGAAGGCGCCCTAAAGGACTAAAAACCCACCTGCAGGTCCTGTTTGGCTGCTTCCGCTCCTGCTCGTGTGTTAAAAGTCACGAATCCCACTGGCTGGAAAACCACAAAAATTCGATGAAACACAACGCTCCTTTTCCTCTCTCTAAACGAATTTAAATGCGTTTCGCGCCGTGGGTCATTTCAACCGAATAATTTATTTATGAGAGAACGAGGAAGTTATTATTTCTGTATGTTTTACGAGCCTTAAAATGGTACGCGAGATGTTGGGAGTGATAACGAGACGAAAGTCACTTTTTTTTAGTTTAAATACGGTATTAAAGATACCAGATTTAATCTACGAAAGTATTAACGATTGTTTTATGCATATGAAGTGTAAGGAAAAATTTGATTGTCTTTTACGATTGCCTGAAATAAATTATAACGAAATATATTCATTTTTTATTACTATCTTCACGTTATACTTATACAGGGTGCTTCTGAAATAAGTGCGTTCCTTTAAAGTGGTTATAGAATGAATTATTTTAAGGAAAAAGTATCATATGCATGGGTGTTGAAATACCTCTGAAGATGTGTGGTGTAGAGTGATATGAAACTCTGACCACTGACTTATCTAAATAGAAGTAAAATCCTGCTAAGTTGACTTAAAAATATGTCAACCAGTAGCGGAAATATAAGGGGTCAGTACCACAAGAAGCCCCAGAATTTCAACACCAATGAGTATTCTGTAAATTCGATTAGTGCGATTTATTATAAATTGAAATTTTAAAGGAAAAAATGAGTTTTTTTACATTAAAGTGAGCTTACATTTTTATGAATTCAACACACAGCATCTCAAAACTGAAGCGAATTACGAGTCACTTTTATATGAAACTGTTTCGATAATATTGGCTGTATTTTTTGTAGCACCCTATCCTCCTTAAAATGGTTTGTTTATAATACCCCTTTGAAGAAACGNTAATTGGGAAAAGTATGAAGATCCTAGGTATTATTCAAGTGTCTGAAAAAAATTGACAAATAAACTAGCATTTTTTGCAATTTTTTAAATGATTTTTCCGATTTTTGCAATAACAGTAAATATTTTTTCGAATTGCAACTAACTCTATCTTGATCTAAATTTAATTACAAAACATTTTTCCTCTTCCATTTTTGTCTAAAATGAATAGTTGCTAAGTTGTCGACGAGAAATCCAAGAAGAATTGAATTTTTTTTCTATTTTTTTATACTCTTTTGCAATAACAATTAAGCCCACGTTTTTTTTTATTTGCATAGATAAATTATCATTTCTGTTGTTATTTAGAAGCCGTTAAAGCAAAAATCTCCGATCATATGCGTTTTACCCAAGTATACCCTTTTTAAAACTCGATGCCGCCTGCCGCATACATGTGGAACCGCCATTGTATTAGTCACATTCCGCATTCACCGAGTAGACTACGAGGAGTGAAGCCTTAAGGTGGTGGGACGGGTGGAGGATGGGGGGGGGCGGTGCGGTAAGGGGCAGCTACCACCCCCCCGTTCCCCGGGGGGTGGATTGTGTACTTACGTCCGGTGAGGGGGTGCATCAAAGTTGGGTGCGTGTTGGCGGCGTTAGCAGCTTGCTGTTTGGGCTTGCTAACCTTGGTGTTACTTTTAGCAAACTCCAGTCGGATCGTCTGAGGCATGTCGGGGTCAAACCTTACGCCCTGCTGCAAAATTGCCCACAAAAAGAGTGACTGTGATGTTCAAAATGCGTCTTATATGAACAGGTGGTCATGGTTAGGTATACTCGCAGGTACTGAGCTAAATTCTGTAACGGTCCCGAAAGTGGAGCCAAATTGCATGAACAACAAAGTTGGGAGTGCTGTTAAAAATACTGTAAGCAAGGTTTTCACTGATTTGCGAAAGTATAACTGAAATATATGTCGGATATGTCATATGTCTTTCTCATTGGCCGAGTCCTTCAGACTTTCTTTCCCGAGACTTTCTTTCCCGAGTTTTAAGATGGCAAGCTTGGGTTTGGAGGGACTTACGGGTCACTCAACGTAGTCGGGGTCAAAGGATAGATAGCATTTACCTTATAATTACTTTATAAGGGAATCCCTAAGAGATAACACATTTGATTGGTTCATTTAAGAATAATTTTGACCTAACGAGTGAAGAGAAGCATAGAGAGATGTACTGAGGGCAGTTCTATTTGAGCATTGAAAACGTGAGTACACTGCTATTCTGTTGACCGTGGATTAGTTATCGGGCCTCTGGTTGTTGTCATAAAACACCTCGAGTACTTTATTTGTAACGTTTTATTTTAAATCATTGTACGATATTACTTATTATTTCGTGAAGATGAGTGACACGAGTAGTGATGTTAACGCCCAAGTTAGCCCTACGACTCCGTCATATACATAATTTTACAATATTTTTGTATATGAAACATTTATTGATGTAAGTGTAGGACATTTGATAACTGTTTCAAATTTGGTACACGTGACAAGGGCGCTAGAAGCTATAAAAATAATTTTGAAACATTTCTTTAACTGCATTAGTGACGTAAGAAGGGATATCTGACACTCTTTTTTGAAAATATTTTTCCCCGCCTATGAATTTCGCAAGGAAAACAATGATCTGTTGATTCTACACAGAAAATACCTCTAGTCAGTTTTTCTTAAAATTGTTAAATTGTAGGTAAAGAAAGACGATTCAATTTGCTTCTCTAAAATAAAAAATAATAAAAAATATGGAACTTTATGATTTTAAGAACTATGCTTATCAGAATTTGTTTTGTCCTTTTAAGATCTATTCAAAACGATTGGGAAAATATTTTTTGAGATTTTCGCAGTTTCTTCATCAAAATAGACTATGTACAGTGTGATTCACTATATTTTGACCCCCCATTAACTTTTTTGTTTTTAGAGTTATAAAAAAATGTGAAATACAACGATTTTTTATGAAGTTTTTGAAAATGATAGTAGTAAAACAAATGAAGCCTACTCTCTTTATCCAGTATTCTTAAGAAAAACTGACAAGCCATTTGTTTTCCTGAAAAAATGTTTAATCATTTCTATTACTTTTCACGCCTTTATAACGTTTGTCAAATTTGAATCAGGTACCTTACGTTGGTTCTAAGGTATTAATGAAAAGCCAGTTAAAAACTAAGCAACTTTTAAACGAAGTATTTTTGACCCAAAATAAGTTACATTCAAGCAAATGAATTTACTAGAGCAATATGTGGTTGCTATATCACCACAGTTTTCTAGGAAACCCTGTAGAAATAAAGTGATAAAGTATATTTTACTATATTAGCTATAAAATGTAATGTTTCATAATATAGTATTAGCCAAAAGCACATTTTTACGTAGAAAGTAAATGCACCTTCGAATTAAATTAAGATAAAAAATTAGTTTTGTAAACCAAAAGGTCTATAGTCTATTTTCTTAAAGCCTTTGTCTAAGGTATCTGTCCATGCATTTTTTTTAATAATAGTTTCTCTTGACCGATATTTTTTTTTCTTTTAATTACTTGTAGAAAAAAATTGTAATCAAGGTAGGCCAAGATATTTAATTTTAACAAACAACCGAATTACAAAATTTTATATTGTTGTTTGAAATTAATTGCTTTAATTAAATCAAGTAGGTATGTCGTAAAAAAAATTCGGTTAGCTTTCATCTTCGTATGTTTGTAACATAAAAATGTTTTAAAAAGTGCTTCATATAATGCTAATTTTTAACATCACAAAAAGGACTGTTTAATGAATTATATACAGTTGTACAAAGTATGTTTATATTATGTCATATTATATTACATTTTTCAGCATTGTGTAAAAAGCTTTTTCATGTCATATGGCACACACCGAAACAAGAATTAATTTGAAATATATTGAAACATTTTTCAAATGTTAATCCAATGAATTGTTTTGTTTTCCTCTACCAAATGTCAGGTTTGTTTCCTCGAAGGTACATATAAAAAAATTTCCATTCCTAAATCCCTTAATAAACGCAGACAACATCGCCCTTCGTCTGAGCCATATGACTGTTATAGATCCCTTCGTCGAACACCATACGGAAGGATCGCCCCGATCTTATCTGGGCTCAGGTAAGGGCACGTGCTGCACAACACATGGCTTTGTGGAATGAAAAAGTAAGAGTGGCGAAGGGAATGAAAGAGAATGTACGGAACTAGCTAGTCGAGAGGGGTGCCTTCGAGTTACTATTAAAACTGTTTTTGACGCAAGAAAATGTAATTTCTAGTTTCGACGTAATGCTAGTGTTACACAGACCGCTATTTAGCTATGTTCGCTAAGTATATTGAAAATAGCTACCATTGTCTTATGATGTATATATAGGTATAAGAATAATGGTATTTTATAGGATTCTGGACAGAAATAGTTTACCGTTTTAGAAATATCGTGTATGTATCGTTCATATGCGTTTACTATTTTTAATATATTACATAGCGAAAATAGCGCAGTCTATGGTTTGAACATAAACCAATGGTAGCTATATTTGACATATATAACAACCACTGCCAATACAGATGTGTAGTAATTTTCGTGTTTTTTTAACATACATTGCGAACATAGCGATCTTAGCCAGCCTAGCGCTCTGCGTCACCCTAGAACATATTGCTATTTTGATCGTGCGTTTCTTTAACCGAAATATTTTGTACTGTAGAAAATACCTATATCGTTCAATAATTTAGTAAAAAAAATGTGGTGTTACAATTTAGATATTGTAAAATATTGAAAAAAACATTATTGCTTCGAGTCTCCACTAGAATCGCTGGAGTTTTAACGTTGTAAAAGAAAATTTGTTGTTTTTGACGTAAATCGCTGTAGTGCTAGGGCCACCGAGAGCGCTATGTTCGTTAAGTTTGTTAAAAAGGGGCCTTGTATAAAATAGTATGTAATATACAAAATAATAAGTACAGAAAATGTATACAATTCAATATTCGTTATTGATGTAAAAATATATGTCACTATTTATATTAAAATAGTGTAGGTACGTATTTTAACAAGCATAGCGAACATAGTTGATATATAGCTCGTTGTGGCCTTAAAATAAAATAATGGTGTATATTTTTAACTTATATAGCGATCATAACAAACACGTATAATATAGAGCTTTGTGTGATCGTATTATTAGCTATTTTTAACACATAGCGAACGTAGCAAATTTAGGTAGCATAGCGCTCTGTATAATAATGGCATAAGATCATGTCATTGCTATGTTCACTATTTCTACCAACTTGTAGTAGGAGTGTTACCAATAGGAAGTACGTATATCCATATACCCTTCATAAATTTTGTAAAACAAAAAAAAAAACAGAAAAACAATGGCAATTGCTAGAATTTTAATTAAAGTGAAATATTGAAAGAAAAGCGCCTTTCCCTCCGTATGCTGCAAGAAACTTGAAACGGAGAATGGTAAAGTAGTTCCTTTAAAGTTTCCAACCAAACAAATATAGCTCGACGCTGCCTTCCTTTTTCTGTTTTCCTCCACTTGTTGGCAGTATTGATAAATTGTCTCCGAGGAGCTCTTGAACGCGTTTTAAATATTTTATTATGACGCGCTGCTCGCTCTAAATTATGCATGTCTTAATTTTCTAAAACGGCCAGGAATTATTTATTTCGTTTAGGAGTCGTTAGTGGGGCTTCGCGGGCTTTTCCCGGCTAGTTTTCAGGAACAGCCGACGTCTGTCTTTGAAGGGGCTCGTGAAAAATGTAGCTCATCTGTTACTTTTGGAAAATTTAGCACCCTCTTCGTAAAAGCAAGATTTTCTTTTAATTATTAAAAAAAAAAGGATTTTCAAATAGTGATTTCTTTGTAGTCACACAATTTTTTGGTTCATCTTGCCACGTACCTATTTATAATTTAGAAACGTTTTTCAATATTTCACGTGAACATTTTTGTATGATAAAAATATTGATTCCTCTAAAGCTCGGGTTACACAGAGCCCTATGTTCGCAATGAACTCTGAGTAAATTATATTTACTAACCAGATGCCTTTTTGAAACTCTTTTGTCTTCGACAAAATTGTCTCAAGCCAGACTGACCAATATTTCGACCAAATGGAACATCATTCCTATTTGCCATGTTTATAACTTGAAAAACTTTTTTAATTTTTCATATGAACAATGAGTGCTTACTATATCAATTTCTTCAGTGTATAGCGGACATAGTTATTATAGCGGCATGTGTGACTTTAGCTTAAAACAGTGGTGACAATTATTTTTAGTATGCGTAGAGTATGGTTCATAACAGATTTGCTCTCAAGTAGTCTTTTATTTTATTTCAAAAGTATATGAATATTAAAATAGAGTACAAAATTTACATATTCTGCAGCATAATGGAGAAGAATATTTGTGATAATTTACGCGTTCTGCTTTAAAGAAAACCTTAGAGTTTAATGCAACTATCATTATTTGAAGCATTTAGAACAGTAATGTCTTTAATAATATTTTTTTTATACTCCGATACTATAATTGGTGTTTTAGACTTTATTATTTGTACTTTAATGAAAATTTCCTTTAAGATACGAGTTTATAACCAATAAAGGAATATCCATTTAACGATCAGTGCATAATATACCATCAAAAGCCACGTTATTTTTTGTTTTAAGTTGAAAAAAATTTATTTAGAAGCTTATGCATAACTTCGCACTCTGACCAACCTTGTCGCAGTTTTCAGCGCAAACGGCCGAAGTTGAGACCCTAATTAAAGTAGGAGTCGCGTTATACGTGTAATTTAGCTCAGTACTTGTCTAGGGGAGGTGGAACAGCAGGTAACCGACTTGATGTTATGTAGGGGGACTCACACATGAATACGGGGGGATATCATTGGGAGGGTAACGACTGTAATGCTGTAGAAGCAGGTAGACTGCGGGTGACACACGGTGCGGGTGCATGCGTCGGCGGGGATATGTTACAGGGGGAATGAACTTGTATCGTATTCGGTGTACAGGGCGTTCGGCGGCAGACCGTCCAGGCTAACAATCGCAGGAAATTTCCTTATCGATCAGAGGTTGTGTTGTCGTTGAATTGATTACTTTTTGTCGATATAGCCTTAGAATTACTACTGATGGGGGAGGTCAAAGCAAGCTAGATTAAGGAAGAAATCAAACTACGCTTAATTGATTTAATTTCGCAATGATAGATCTTTAATTATTGAGGTTTTGGTACAGGGGACGTACTTTTTTATTTAATTGCATATTTCTGCTATGAAGAAAATAAATATTAAATAACTTTTTGCGCTTAAAGTCGAGGAATTAATTTTATAAATTTAATTAAGCCTCAACAGAAATATCTGAGCAAGTGTATAATATAGATAAAAATAACAAACACTCAATTAAATTTAAATCGATTGAAAGTCAGGTATTTGTTTTATCTACCAAATACAGGATTGCCTTGGTTAAAAGTGACAGAAAAAGTTTTCTAATAATTTCAATGTTGAGCTTTAAGAAGGTATGCAGTTTGAAGCTGATATATCAGTATCAAATATGGTATAATACAAGTTTATGACTATTAAATAGACAAAAATTGGTCGTGTAATGTAACAATTCGAAGTTTGAGAGTTGTTGGGTTCTTTTTTTTTAAAACTACACAGCAAAAAAATTAAGGGAGTAGAAAAATTTCCAAATTTTTTTAGTGATTTTTGAGTCTGTAACTTTGTAAATAATGGTCGTACCCAGGAAAAAAAAAGAATCGTGTTGAAGCTTGAAAATACTAGTTTTGTAATCTTGAGATGAAAAATTTTTTTGATCACTCGGCACAATCGAAAGAAATAGTGCAAGGCAAAAATTTTACAATTTTTTTTTAAAAAGCCCATGAGAAAATTTTTTTCTGGCATGGTCATTTAGGCTGATTCCTCAGCTTCAATTAGTTTTTTAATTTTCTGTACGATTATTTCTCATCGAGATATCGGCTATTGAGTGAAAAGTCACTTTTTTTTTGTTCGCCGATAAGAGGCCTGTAAATTTTGAAATCGCTCGGTCGAACCGTTTTCCTGTCATGAATAGTCAAAATTTTATAAAACATTATTATTTTTCTCATAATTTCCCGTTAAATAACACAGCCACAAAAAAAGTTCTTTTTCTAACCTAAAAAAACGGGTCAACTAAGGTCCCCAAAAACCCCCGTATAACAAATTTGGCGCGAATCTGTTATTTTTTTAAAATTCGTGACGTCTGACCTTAATTGACCCGTTTTTTTTTTTGAAGTTAGAAAAAGAACCATCAATTCTGACAAATGTACATTTTAATAGAGAAAAAAAAAATTGTATTTTTCCTAGCACTTTTTCGCAAATTTTTGCTATTTTTGACCTGTTTTTTGAGGTTAGGAAATTCCGTGATGTGATCGCTCAATTCTGACACCGGATTCGTGATCAGGAGGCAAAAGTACTACGGATAACATGTCTCTTGAAAAGTACAGACAACTTTTTTTTTGTGGCTGATGATGCTGTGGAATCACGCTAATGACCCTAGCATTGATTAAGCCAGAAAAAATTTTTCTAAGCCCATGGGCAGTTTAAAAAAAAAAAAAAATTGTAAAATTTTTGCCTCGCATTATTTGTTTTGATTGCGCCGAGAGTGATACTCAAAAAGATTTTTCATCTCAAGATTTCAAAACTAGAATCTTCATGCTTCAAAATGCCTCTTTTTTTTCTCGATACGATCATTATTCACGAAGTTAGTCTTTCAAAAATCATTAACATTTGGAAATTTTTCTGCTCCTTTGATTTTATTTCAGAGTTTAGTATTTGGTGCCTTTTTAAAGGATATAGAAATTTGAATTTTTTTCGCTGGGGTTTGTCTGGTGTTATATTTACAAAACAGATCTTTAAATATTTTATTACGAAAAAAAGCTATATCAACTATAAAACATGTTTTATAACAATCCCACTATATTCTAGACAAAGGACATTTTTTTAAATAAATAAAGGGATAGTTTTACGATCAAAAGAAGTCACACTTTAACCTCTGTGTGTTATATTTGTCATAATACTTCAATTACTTTTTTTACACTTCTTTGAAAGTGCAAGAAAACTTCCTAAAACTTTTTGCCACTTTTTCCTAGATAGAAAGACGAAATAATAAGGGGATATAATGTGATTACCCCTGTACATTAATTAGTATACATTCATCACTATGTATTTATTACATTCCAAATCTATATAAAAAAAATTAAACTTCGCCTTAATATGAGATACTTCTGTTAGATGCAAGGGGTCGTTTAAAATTTCTTTTTCTTTCCAATGTCGCAGAGATATTCAATTAAATAAAAGAATAAGTAATTAAAAAAAGCCACAAATAAATCGTCATATAAATTAGCAAAACGTTTTGTCGAATTTAACAAAACACTTTTATCCGTGTAACTTTTAGCGTAAACTTTTTAGACAAACGAACGCTTTTATCTCCGATACAATCGAATTAGCCTGGACGTTCCTGAGCCGGGCGCCCCGTCGAAGGCGCCCTAAAGGANAATCGAATGAATCATGATTTTTTCGATTTTTACAATAATAATCATGATTCATTCGATTTGTAACTAGTCATATTTTGTAAAAAATTTAAATACAAACATTTTTTTCCTCTTCCATTTCGCCTAAAATTAACTCTTGAAAAGATACATAATTAAATGGGATGAAAAATATGACATTTTTCGAATTTTTTTATCATATTGTGCCGCCAAAAGTTAAGCCCACGTTTTTTTTATGCGCATAGAAAAATTTTCATTTCTAGTGATATTTGAAAGCCAAAAAGCCAAAAATCTCCGTGGATATACGATTTACCCAAATATGGACTTTTTGAAATAGATGCTGTCTGGACTATATGGTTTAGAGGGATTTGCCATAGTTATTATAAGTTTAACTTCACAAATTTCCAGTATATAATATAAGGTATCGTACTGCTTATTGACACCATTCCTCACATTTAATAACCAAAGCAGGTCAACTGCACTGTCGAAACGCGTATATGTCGCTCTTCGCGCTTGCCATTTACTTACCGATGACGTCAACGTATCGACATCTCAGTCCATGTCGTTTGCGCGTGAAGCGAACCGATTAAAACTTTAATATCTAATAACTTTTTAAAAATAAATTAATATAACAAAACCTTTACACATTATTTGTAGTATTCAGTGTAGATACAAAAACTATTAAAATATTTTGTTCTGCAAGAGGCCTATTTCAACACCAATGAGTATTCTGTAAATTCGATTAGTGCGTTTTATTATAAATTGAAGTGATAATATTGCCTGTATTTTTGTAGCACCCTATCCTCCTTAAAATGGTTTGTTTAATGACCCTTTGAAGAAACACCCTGTATAGTGCTTACATCGTTGTAAATTACTATTTTGCAACTCTACCTATGTAGATTTTTGAAATAACAGAAAATATAGTTACTAACTGCATAAATATTATACCATTTTACGCTCGTATCATTTAAATTACAGAAACATGATAAAAATACATATTTTAATTGACACTTACCGATGCTGTTTTACCATTTTTACTTGTTACTTTAAGTAATGATCCCTCGTAACCCTGAAACAAAACAAGTACGTGCTTCAATTCCCTTTTATTCCTTAATCAGTTGTGGATTTTCAAGTTCCCAGACTACTTGATAATAAAAGGGAAGCCCTAAAAGTCCCGAGAACAGATTGTGAATATTTTATGGCTTACAATATATTGGATTTAGTTTATTTAGGACGAAATACGTTGCCAAAACTACACATTTTTAATCTTTCTTTAAAGGTGCTTCTACTGTGTTATCTTTAATCTGAATTATTTTTACAAGGTTTAGCACTTATACTTATTTGGTATTAAAGTAATATCTAAAAATAAAAAATGTATCCTATTTCTTTTAAAATTATGCAACTAATTAGTTGTAATATGAAACTTTCAAAACGATTAGTGAATTTTTTACATTAAATTATTATATTTTCAATGACAAGGAAATGATTTTTTGCAATTATAAAGTAATTTTGTTCGTATAAATATTATCAAGTTTGATTTTTACTAATTTGTCAGCAGGGGGGAAACAAAGCACATTTATTTTTAAATGTGTGCTTTTAAGGGTCTCGTATAAATATTGCACAGTCTTCCGGGAACAGTTTGCTCGTATGAACGGAAACCTTTACAAAAAAATGTGTTTAAAACGTGAAAAAATTGAAATGTCAACAGTTTTTATTGTTCCGGCTCTATGCTCGGATGAACTTACCTCATAAGCTCTAAATAATAAATACAATTCCCGAGGCTTAGCGTCCATTGGCAGTCCGCTTACGAATAACGTCCGCACCTACAACAAAAATGTACCAATTAGATCGATTATATTTTCAGAAAAATATAAAAGAGAAATTATAGATTAAGTCAGAGTATCTACAGTCGGTATGATATTTGTTGAGATAGAATTCTAAGGAGACCCCTGCGTCAGTTTCTTGGAATTAACTGCATTCGACACCCGAGGTAGAAAGACATTGGCGGAAATTTCTTGGAATTCTATTTAAAAAAATATTGTAATTGTACCAATATCTCTAAAAATGGCTGACGGGGTTTCTTGATGCTTCACTGTATATAAATTGGCGTAGAATATGCTTAAAATGAAGCAGAAGAATAGGGGTTTCTTTGCCGTGTCCAGAGCGCATTTGTGGGCGGTGCAATCTCAGATGCAAACTTATTTGTGTCTGTACTATAATTAATTATAGTCCTAGTACTATAATAATAGTTATTTATTATATAAGTGTTTTAAGTAGCATTTTATGCAAAAATATTTAAACGCGAAAATGTAGTTCGAAAGTTTAATATTCTTAGTGGATAAGAGTTAATTAAAACACTAATGCAATACAATATTTTATCCACAATCATATTTGTGAAGTCAGAATTATTGGAATTTAATAAAAAAATATACGCACGACTTGATATTTCTTACTAGTACTCAATGAAACGTGGTAGGTTTTGTTATACCTACTAGTTGCTATGGTACGTTGTTTATTATCAATTATTTAATAAACAGTTCTATTCGAATTTGGTAAAATTGCAAGAACGTACCTAATTGTATTCCTGTGGCTGTTTTTGAAGAAGTTCAAGACGCAATTTTCCATTTATTGCCAGCGAAATCCAGGGAACATTACGAAAAAGTGTTTGCCGAATTTAACGAATGAAGAGACAATAAATGAAGAAGTCATGCCATCGTATTTTTTAAATTTGAAGAAAAAATATGCAATTTCTTCTATGTGGTCGAAGAATTTGATGTTGAAGGCTACTATAAAGGTCTACAAAAATATAGATATAACAAGCTTACTGCTTATTTGAAGAGTGAATCGAGAAGATACAAAGCAAAAGAAGCTGCAGTATTGGAAAGAGCACATATTGAAGGATATTTGACTGGGGCTTCCGATAAAGAATATTTAATGATTATGGTAATATCTCTTTACCTTTTACATGTTGTTAGGTAGGTATATAATGAACTTTGGATTATTTTAGGTTGCACTAATAATGGGGGTTTCTGGTGCCTGTCGATGCTGCGAGTTGACAAATTTGAAAATTAGTGTACAGGACGTTGACAGTGACTTACTTGTTTCAATACCTGACACCAAGAAGGGCATTTCAAGAAAATTTACAATTATAGAAGAAGGATTTTGCGTGAATGCTGTTGAAATATGCAGAAAATATATTTCTCTGCGCCCAATTCGCCTAACACGAGTCAGATTCTTTTTGAGATACATAAATGAAAAATGTACTTTCAGCCTGTTGGAATCAACACATTGGCGAAGATACCAATAGTTGGTTCATTCCTGAATATCGCATAAAGGTGCTGATCTTACAACCATCAAACGGCATATGTGTGGATAAAAGTCCGATTATAAGGTGATTGTGGATGAACAAAATTATGGTACTAAAATATAGCATTATAATGCACCTATTGTGATAAATTTATTTTTCAATGTTTTGAATCTAAAAAAAAATATTTTATCAAGAGTATTCTTAGAAAAACACAAATTCTGTATCGCTCGTTGTGTTACTTTTTTAATAATAATTTTAATCCCTTTGTGTTATGGAACAGCGACTTCCAAGACAGATAGTTATTAGCCGTTATTTGGCGTAACTAGCCTTCTGGTCCCAGTGGGAAGTGCGGCAAATTATTTTTCATTAGACCATCCCCGAGGTGGTTCATACTTCTCGCTGTAACGTCCTTGCCCGCTCTCCTCTCATAGATTTATAGAAGTTAATTTCCACTCTCGTAAGACGATATTATTAAATTGTTCAATTTTAAACAATGTGGTACCTTCCGATATTACGCAGTACCTTTAAAACTGTGACATTTTTTTGCGCAAGTGTTAGTCCTTGTAGGAAACGATTTTAGTTTATTATTTTGATTGCCGGCCGGTGATTTATTTGTTTGTTTTTGACTATGGCGAAGTAAATACGAGTTTTAAGGCTGCTTATTTATAATTAGTTGGGAAAAAATTGAATAGGTCGTCTCGCATCAGTGGATGCTCGGTAAAATAAACTATTTATATACCAAAGCGCGATCCGCTGGTTGATTTCAATGGAGTGCTAATCGAATTTATATATAACATAAAAAAGCCAGCCTGGAATATGTTGTTGCTTCATTTCTGAGAAATTTATTTTTGTGGGTTCTTTTTCCTTTACATCATATCTAGGTATCAGAGAACAGGGATAGTTATCTAAACAACTTGGTAGTTGCAAGTGATTTAGACGTATTTACTGTTGATGAAAAAGATGAAAGGCCATCTATGTGAAATAGACAGAGGCGTATTTGAAAATTTTATAATTTTGGAAATTATTTTCAATAAAATTCAGTAATCTGTATATTTACATATGTTTAAATATGTTTATATATGTTGTGGTTTGCCTTGTGTACACATCAGGATTGCAACGTCCTATACAGTCCAAGTTCTAAATATGTTTTTCTGAATAAATAATAAATATTTATTGATTCATCCTGCCGCTGTCGCTCGGTCGCGTCGGGCGGAAGATTATCGCTGAACCAATATTTCACCGCGATTATTTTCCCAAGGCTAGACCGACCACGACCGCTGAAAAACCTCGCGCCAAGGTGAGGCAGAAACTAATTTCCATCTTTTTATTTGCCTTTAATACAATATCATCTTGCGAAATGAGATTTCCGATAATTAAATTAGCGCGGGTCCCTCCGAACAATGAGGAGCAGGGTCAGACGCGAAACGCTGCCCCGCCGAGGAAGCGCTGCAGGCCCTTAACCAGTGGCGTCCAGTGACTTTTCGCAACTGGGGGGCAACCTAGCTCCTATTGATTTTTAGAACGGTTTTCAGAAAAATTATGTTTTTTTTCTGTAATCTATATTTATTATTTGTAAGAAGAGCAAATCTTAAAGTGGAATTAAACGAAAAACAAAAATAATTTTTCAAAGAAAAATAATAATCTTATAATCATCGCACTTCATTTGCTATTTTTGTTTAAAATATACAAACCGTTAGCCTAAACCTCGAATTCTCAAGAGTTATTATGACTATCAGGGTGAAGGTGATCTTAAATGTGTATACAGGTTAACAGCAACTATAACTCTCGATGTAAATGAGAAAAAGTAACTTCTCAAAATTACACATATTTACGATATTAATTTTTTTAAATCCCTCCTTTTATATGTACATGACAACAGCTGTGCGCTTGAAAGGTAATAATTTATCCAGCGCACCAACGAGTTTGTGAGTACGCCAAATCATGCATAGGGATTTTATACAAAATAAAACACATTTTTTAGTTTCATACTGCATGTTAAATTTTAATTCACTGTGACGAATTCTAATTTAAAAAATAGTAACTGGTTTTATAAGCAAAATAAAATGGTGCAGTAGTTTTAACTCTAATTTTAACTTCTTAATAAAGAAAATTCTTAATGATTCAAAAATTTAATTTCAGCAAATTAAATAGTGGCACAAGGTTTAAAATTGCAATGTTTGAAAAGTAAATACATATATAGAATTATTCATAAAAGCAAATTTAACAAAACAAGCCATCGTGCACTCAACAAAAGTAAGCACAAAAATAAAATCCTTGGTGTTCTGTTTATTCATTGTTACCATTTAAATTTACTCAAATAAAATAATAACTAAGAAAAAAGCGTTTGTAAAACATGCGTTTGCTGTTATCCTAACCCCATATTTTAAGAATTATTTTCAGGTACTTATAAATAAAAGTAAACAATTTTATATGTAGGACTAAGCAAGTAAATGTTATAAGAATATTTACATGTAGAGTTATATATAAAAAAGTTAGTATTTTCGCAAATTTCAGTACCTAAAACCTTGACGGTTTGATCGTTTTTTGCACCTGTTTATTCGTTTTACTGCGGCGTCTTTGAAAATAACCAGATGGCATGACATAACATTCCTATTATTTGATAAGCTTTAGATTATTCAGTTATTAAATGTTTGAAATTATTTGTCTTTGTGGAAAACACTATTTAAAGAATATGGGGCCCTTAAGAAGTAGATTGTGATTAGGTAAATTTTACCTTTTTTTATTTTGTACAAATATACTTTAAATAAAATAACATTTCGGGCTACTAGAGAATAATTATTTTCAAAGGAAGAACTTCGACGACGGAAACTGGAAACCATATCCATCGAACGCAGACAGTACTGCCGAAAATCACTAGATGGATTTTGGATTTTGTTTTTTTCAATGTCCGGAAGGTTTTCCCAAAAAAAAACTACAAAAATTTCGAAAATTTTTCCCAGTTTTGAATTTTTTTTTTCATCAATTTAAATGTTATTTGCAGTGAAAATGTGAGAAAATGTCAAAACAATTTTTTTTTCATTTTATTTTAATCATGATTATGAAGTGTTTAAGCTCAAAAAACGTGATCCTTTAATTGTTTGACTGTTTGAAACAATGAAACGGTTCTCTAGATCGAGATGAAACTTCACAGGATTCTTCTGGGTATATCGAACTGTTAAAGTCATGCTTAACATTAGTCATTTCCTGAATATTTCTAATTTAGCCGTCAATTTTGCAAAAAACCATAAAATACCTTTTTTCCGGTTTTTTAAAATTCGTGTATAACTGTTTTTCCGAAAAGTTGCAGCAGCATGTTATAGAAAAATTCCAGTTTTCGAAACTTCCCTTCATTTCCCTGTATGACCATTTGTCGCCGAGATATCGATGATTGAAGACAAAAGGATCCTTTTCCATTAAAAGTCCGATATTTCGATGAAAAATGGTCCTATCAAAATTTAGAAAAAAGTAAATTGAAGCTGAATAAACAAGCTATCTGGTCCATCCGGCTTAGATGAA